TATATATATATATATATATATATGTCTGTGTGTGTGTTTGGGTATGTGCACCCTTCCCTCATGTTTGCACTCCTTTCTCTCTCTCTACATATATATATATATATATATGCCTATGCCGTTCAATCTTTCTCTGTTTGTTTGTCCGTGCGCCACACTGAAAAAGGTAGTGAGTGCTTCTGCACTTCGTCGGTCTTGCCCATATTGCTCTACGACCCCGACTACCACGACTACTACTGGTAGTACTATTAGTGGTGTTGTTATTATCATCTGTCCGTGCGCAGTGCTAATGGCGAGTGGGCCCCCGAACCTGGTGCAATTCTCACAGGAGTGCCTGTACTTTCCTCTCACGCAGACGGATGCTACCATTGAAAACATCGTGCAGATAAAGAATCTGCTGCAGCGCACCGCAATACGCGGTGAAAATATTATCGCCTTCAAGGTGCTTAGCACAGTGCGCAACCGCTACGGCGTGCGACCCTCGAGTGGGCTCATATTGCCAGGGGAAAGTACAAAGGTTAAATTTCTCCTTGACATCCAGCAGCTGCGACGGTACGCTGCGAAACAGCAGCAAGGTGGCACCGCCATCACCTCTGTGATGCCGGACGCGAGCACCAGGGACGACATGATCGTGGATGTCGCTGTTGTGCCAAAGGAGCAGGCAATAGCATACCTGACAAACCACAAGGACAATGCGACAGCCAGTGCAAATGACGGCAACAACACTGGGGACATGTACGTCGAGGAGGCCTCTGCCTTCTGGAAGGCCCGTGGGCAAGTAAACCAAGTGGAGGCGAACGCTGAGCGCCGTAAACTGCGCTGTGTGCATGGTGAACGTAATGTGCCGGACAGTCTTGTGATGCGAATGAGCAGCGAGAAGGTGAGTGCGCTGGTGGCCACGCCCATGACGCCACGCTTGGGCAGCTTCGGGCCCAGCATACTGCCGCCAGCTGTCCCGACGTCGCGGCCACAAACTACTATGACCAATATGAGCAACAAGACACCGCCACGCGCACCGCCGCGGAATTCCCCGGCCACGTCCGCCATGAGCCGTGAAAAAATCTCGCCGTCCGTAAATACTTCCCCGTCCGCTTCATACGCTCCGTCAGCTCCCACGGCAGCCTCTCCTCTTGCTACTGCTACTGGAGGCCGTGGTGGCCGTGGTGGCGGTGCGATGCATTCAAATGCCACCATTTCTGGTGTTGATAATTATGCGGCGGGCAATGCAGGGGACGAAGAGGCGTTTTGGAAGACATATCTCTTCTTCAAGGTGCCTTTCCCGGTCCTAGGGATGTTAATATTTCTTTCATTCCTTTGTGCATTACTCGAGAGTGGGACGATTCTTACGTGGCTATTGATAGGAGAGTAGGTTGAAACATCAACATTTGTGAGTGATGTTTTTCCCTCCACATTTGACATTGTTTTCTTCCTCGTACATTGGTGTGATGGTGCTGCCCGTGCGTTCTTTTTTGTTCCTCCTGTTTTTTTTTTTCTTTGGTAAGAGTCGTGCTTCGGGCGGACGGACGGACGTGAGGCGGTACACAAAAGTAATTTTTTTTTTGTTTGACGGCAGAGAAGAGACGGGGCGATGAGTGTGCATTGAGGCAAGGGGGATGAAGCCAAAGCAAGACAGAGAAGAAAAAAAGGAAAACGGGAGAATGAGGGAGAAAGGAGCATCATGTAGATGGGATGGCCAGAACGAAGGTGGTGAGGGAACGCGCTTCCATCCCTCCTTTCACTTCGCTGTAGTTACGAAGGACATTGTGACGTTCTGCGTTGAACTGCGTTTTGCTGCTTTTCCTTCTGCCAATGCCACTGCGAGAACTTTTATTTCCTTACTTTATCTTGGAGGTGGTGTAGTGCACCAGTAGTTTACCTTTCTTTCCCTTTGTGTTCCGTGGGCTTCCTGGGGAAGCGGGGGTCATTTGGGGAGAGAGGGGGTTCCCGTCGCACAGAGTTGACGAGCGTACAGTATGTCGTTTGAGGAACGCACGCCCCGGTCGCAGCAGGATAGTCTTGGCGCCGCCGCCGCTGCTGCAGATGATGGGGCGCTGGGCGGCGTTGCGGAGGCGGAGAAACAGCCAAATGGTGAGGCGGCGCCGCCGTCGGAAGCACGAGCTTGGTCGTGGTCGTCACTCATGGGCGTTGTGTGCCCCCAGCAGATGAAACAGACCGAAAAAAGCCCAGTCGACAGCGTTGAGAGTGGAAGAGAAAACAGCGAAGATGCGGTTTCACTTGCGTGGCGTCAGATGTCTGCGCTTATCTACAACAGTTTGATTCCGTTTTCAATGATGTCCCAGCAGCAGCAGCAGCAAAAGGATCAACCCAAGATAAAGCCCAACACGTTTATTCGCCCCGCTTATTGTAGCCAGTGTCTGCTGATGCATGCCGTAGAGGATAACACTGGGTCTGCAACGGCGAGTGACGGCAGTGAGGCGGAACCACTGTTGCTTCCCTGCGGCACTCAACCGCGACTCGGGCCGGCGGTGAACTGCTGCGCCAGGTGCAACCTCGCCTTGCACCCGGCTTGCTTCCACGCTATGGACCCCACGACGCACGACGGAGTAGCAGCAGAGTCCTCGGTGGTGACCAGGGAGGGGAACTCGTCGGACTGGACGACGTATGACATGTCGTCCGCTTTGCGTTTCATTGCATCTCTTGTGTTCAAAGATCCTAATGCTGAGATTTACCTGCGTGACTTCATGTTGTTGCTGCATCGCTTCTCCAAACGCCATCCATCTATTATGCGGTGCGCGTTGGACCCGCGCAACATCGTCTCCGTGAGGGAGCGCCACAGTGAGATGTACAGTCTCTGCTGCGACGCGCTGGCCGACGCGGACTTCGTGCAGGCGGCGGGCGGTGGCGGCGACGGGCCAACGATGCAGTTCCTCCGTGACATGATGCGCTTCGCCACAGCCGTGTACGGGCAGGCGTACCAAAGCGGCTTCCTGAGCTCCGTGATGTGGGGTGTGGTGATGCGCGGTGTGCGCCGCGACCTCCTCACACCGGACGAGGCGTCGAACAACAAGGCGGTGGCGGAGATTCTCTCCATGCCGGAGTCCTGCGTGCAGGCTGCACGGTGGTCGCAGAACGCCATGGAGCCGAATTACTGCATTATCCTCGACCACGCTGCGAAGCGCATCGTGTGGGCGTTTCGCGGAACGCTGAGCGACGATGATATTCTCAGCGACGTCTGCGCGTACGGTGTGCCGTTCTGCGGCGGCCGCGCTCACGAAGGCGCGGTGCGTATTGTGTCGGCTGTATTTGATAACCGAGATACAGCGACCACTCTCTTGCCGTGTGGCAATAACAGCAGCAACAACGGCAGTGTCACGCGCGGTAGTAAGGCAACTGCCGATCGGGGAATTAGTGTCGTCTGCGAGCTGTTGCAACGCCACCCCGACTACGAAATCACCATCACTGGTCACAGCCTTGGCGGCGGCGTTGCGCTCCTTTTCGGCGTGCGTGCGATACGGGAGAAAACCTTTGGCGAAGAGGCAACGAAGCGGATGCGTGTTGTGGCCTTCGGCCCAATGCCAGTTTTGACATTCCCTGCTGCCCAGTCGTTCGAAAATCAGATGTGGAGTGTCGTGAACGGTTGCGACGCCGTGTGCCGCCTGCAGCTCAACTCTCTCGACCGACTGGCTGCGGAGTTGGCGCATGCTAAAAAGCAGCAGGAAACTGCTGCTGTTGGGAGTGAAACGGAGAGTACCAAACGTTGCGACAATGGCCCATCCCCTGACCTCCCACCAGAGCTCTCTACTCTGACGCCGACGTGTGCAACAACAGCGGCAGAAGCACAGCCTACCGACACGGAAGACTTGACGGAGGAGATGCACCACCCAGGGCGCGTGTTTATGCTCACAACACCATGGCGCCCGGCGACCAATCGAGTTGTGGAAGTGCCCCACGGCAATATCGTGATGCACCACTTGTTCATCTCGTCGCACATGTTTGAGGAGCATCTCATGGACCGCTACGCAGAGGCACTGAAGGAAGTGCACCTGCGCGAAGTAAAGGATTGAGATGAAGATGAACCAACTGCCATGAGGTACATATTGCAACTTCTCTCTTTCTGATGTATATGCCGTGCCAACATACTCAGGAACTGCTTGCTCTGTGGGCGCTTGTTTCTACCTTGTATCCAGCCTGGGGGAGTTGGGCAAAGTTTTTTTGCTTCATATCGTGGCCAACCTGCAACTTTCTGTCGTGTCAAAGTGGCAGGGATGGGAAGCATGATATTGTTTTTTTTTC